TATGCTTATATATTATTACAGTACATTACATCTTAAAAATAGAATTAACATAATTATCAGTGTCTGATAAATTATTAACTGCATGTAATATTGTGATTGTGAGAAAACATTCACAATAAAATATAAATAAATAGTAGCTATTAGACAAATATTTGATATGGTAATACGAACATTTAAAAATATATTTACACAAATATATTTACACATGAATGCATGAGTTTAAAGCGGATCATTTATTTGATGTGCTTTGTAAACAATTTACTGCGCTTGAGCTGCATTTCTGAGATCATGTTTACATTAGGCAACACAACTATTAATTTATTGACTTTATTCAGTTGTTAAAGTTATTTGAAAAATTAATGTGTCTACCAGCTCATTATTTATTATTTGTTTTTGTTGTTCATTCATTCATGTATTTATTGTTCTTAATAATAAGATATTTATTACTCTTTTATTGGTTAATTTTCATAAAGGGTGACCAGAATTTTTTTTTATTGATCAGTCTTTAAATACCATTTGTAACAAATTTCAATATGTATAACTACCTATAATGGTCGTGGGCATTTAATGCATACTCATCCAGGCCACCAAATCTACAGTAGAAACCACAAACCTATTTTTTAACCCTGTTTTTAATTAATATATTATACGTTGTAACCATCACATAACATGCTGGTAATGTTTAATTAGAGTAAAATGCGACTTTAAAAGATGTGTGTGCTGTAATGGTGGGTCTTAAAGGGGTCATCGGATGCAAAATTCACTTTTACATGTTGTTTGAACATAAATGTGTGTTGGCAGTGTGTGTACACATCCACCCCCCGATCTGTACACATGCGCCTCCCGATCTGCCTAAATGTGTCTATGTTCGCGCGAATCATTCGTGGTCCAGCCTCACCTACAGAATAAGTGAGTATAAGGTTTTTTTTTATGAATCTTTGCTAACTGCCTTTCCTAATAATATGCTAGTTAGCAAGTTTTGCGGTTAAATGTGGCTAAAGTAAACAGTATGTTCCTCTTCAGGAACGCACGTCAGCTTTGTGTACTGCGGTTACCGGGGAAACCACTGTATGCGCAGTTCCGAAAGTGACACCTGCTGGCAGAGAACAATAAGCCCATCTGCTATTTTTGCTACATATTTTTAAATGTGAACCAGTGGATC